ATTGATAAATGAGATTCCATCAAAATTTAGAACTTTAAATGACATCATTAAAATGAAAAGTAGTCCTTAAACAGACCATATTTACAATGCATATACGGAAGTGGCCTTTGTCTTGGGGCAGGTTCAGGGACCAGATGGCACCATGAATTCAGTGGAGGACATCAAGGGAGCCCTTCCTGCCCTGCCTCTCATGCTCCACCCCATCCCTCCAGCAGGTACAGCCAGCTTGAGGACTCAGTCTCTGACATTCGCCTGTACTGCTCCTGAGACCCACCTAATTGCAGATTCGAATGGGCTAATTCTGTCTTTCTCCAGCTATCCCAGACCTTGGCTTGTTCTAGCTGTCTGCCAGAATGCCAGTTGCACAAATACATATGTTAGGGCCTTTGATCTCCCAGCACAATGACATAGATTTATCAGATCTTTGCCTCTTTCTGCCTCTTTGACAATGGCTGATTTATTGGATGCAGCCCTTGCCTCCCTGCCTTTCTTGAAATATGAAGTGTTTGTGAATAGCCAAGGTAATATTTAATATCCTGCCAACCAGCCGTTTGCACTTGCTAACAAATGAACTACATCCTTGCCAAATGGATCACATCTGTTTGAGCTCCTCTTTTTACTAAACATATTAGCATTAAAATACCTCCTGGAGAATGCCAAGTGTCCCTTTCTAGATGAGAGAGCAGGGACAATTCTGAAGGAGAGGACCACCTCCCGGGGCCCAGGAGCCTTGCTTGTAGCAGGTGTTCTCCTCCTTCCTGGAGTGTCTAGGCAGGAGCTGGTGCCCACAGCCACACTGCTGTGGCCAGGGAGCATTCTTTCACCTTGTCTGGCACTCCCCATGGAAATGTAGGGTAGGGGGTCCACTGTAAGAAATGGACTTTGGAGACTCATTTCTGACTCTTCAACCCAGAGGAGTTTTCCCTCAATGGATTCCTAAAACACATTGGAGGTGGCTTCTGGGTGACATTACATTAGGGAAGAAAGCTGCTGACATTTAACGGTGATGGTTCAAGGGCTCTGAGATCTGGCCTGCACCTTGACCGTGGGACTGTCTTCCCTAAACAGGACATTGGCTTGAGAACCCCTGTAGTAATAAAGTGCCCTGGTTTGCCATTGTGTTAATGACTGACCTTGACCTGGGCCTGGGTATAAACATGGTTTTTCTTCACCTGAGCTGATCACAGGTTGTGAGAAGGCTACGACAGCCTTGCCAGGCACAGAAGCGCCCACTTGCCATTTTGGCTGTACGTGGGGGAGAGTGAGGGGCCCTGGCCAGTTCTCTCCAAGGCCCTGGGGCTCCCTCCTTGCTCCTGGGTGCCCAGTTCATCAGAGCTCCTGACTGCAAAGTCTCTCTGGGCACCAAACTGGAAGGTACTGCCCCTTCCTCTCCCTTTTTGATCATGTGAAAAGACCACTGCACATGGGGTCAGACTGACATGAGCCAGGATAAGTGAGACAAAAATGGACACTCACCGTAAATCTTGGGTCTCCAATAGAATAGAAGGCTGTCTCCTATCCAGCTCATTCTACAGCCCTAAAAGCGACCATAGTTATTGGTTCTTTGTATTTTCTTCTGGTGATATTTCAGGCACAAGGGCAGGGATGTACTGGATCAGTCAAGGTAGGTGAATATATGTGAATAAAGACATACATAGTTGTTTAAGGGGGTTGGGGTCTTAACATCAAGAAAAGGAGGGGAAAAAAAGAGGGGGGGGGAGAGAGAAAGGGAGAGAGAGAAAGGAGAGCACTTACCAAAAGTGGTACCAACAAGAAGAGACAGAGAAACAAAAGGTGGAGAGACAAACCTGCCCCCGGAACAAGCCATGCCTGAAACTAGCTTGCTTCTTGACTTTTCAACTAAAGGAACCAACACGTTCCTTTTCTTGGTTAAATCAGTTTTAGTTGAGTTTCCTAATGTGTACAGGATCTGCGTTGAAACAGGAAGGTTTATTAATGGCAGTTCATGAAGGTACACTGATATAGGATTAGCTGTGTGCAATCAGACAATGAGCTTAGTAGGGAGGACTTTTTCTTCTAGTTTGGTCCCTGGTAGATCATACATATTTTGAAGGTAAATAAGTGCTAAACAGCAGGGTGAGGGATCTGCATCTATTCATGATTTGGGTCAAGATTTATTCATTATTAATACATATTAATTGTGGAAATTAATGGGACATATTTCCTCCCTCTCCCACACATCTTTCCCAGTCCTTCTGCTTTCAGGTCTTTCTCATTTTTTTAAGCTTTTATATGACAGAGAACATGTATGTGGTATTTGTGATACTTTGTTCTTGTCTTTCTGTGTCTGGCTTATTTAACATGATGTCTTCCAGTTCTACCCATTTATGGCAAATTACAGCATTTCATTCTTATTTATAGTTGAATAATATCCTACTGTGCATATATATATATATATACCATATTTTTATTATCTATCTGTCTATCTATGTATCTATCTATCTATGTATCTATCTATCTATCTATCTATCTGTAATAGTGGGGATTGAACACAAGGCCTTTCCCTAAGCTACCTCCCCAGCCCCTTTTGTTTTGAGACAGGGTTTCTCTAAGTCACTAAGCTGCCCAGGCAATAATGACCACATCCCACATGCTGGGGTTAGAGGTGTGCACCACCACACCCAGCTAATCATCCATTCATCTGTTGATGGGCATCCAGGCTGATTTTGTGTCTCAGCTGTTGGGAACAGTGTGCCTCAGTAAGCATGAGCATGCTGGTATCTCTCGTACAATTACTTCACTTCCTTTTGTTTTGTTTTTTGAGACAAGGTTTCACTGTCTAGTTCAGGCTGGTCTTGAACTCACTATGTAGTAGCCCAGGCTGAGCTGGAACTCAGTGCAATCCTCCTCCTCAGCCTCCTGAGTGCTGGGATTACAGGCATGCACCACCATTCCCAGGTCATTTTCTCTGTATATATACCCAGGAATGGGATAGCTGAATTATATGGTAGTTCTATTTTTAGTTTTTTGAGAAACTCCTTACTGTTTTCTATAGTGTACTAATTTACATTCCCACCAATAGTGTATAAAAGTTTCTTTGTCTCCATATCATCACCAACACTGATTATCTTATTTTATTTTATTGATTAAAGCCATTCGAACTGGGATGAGATGCAATCTAGATGTAGTTTTGGTTTGCGTTTCCCTGATGGCTAATGATAGCGAGCAGTTTTTATATATTTATTGGCAACTTATATAGCCTTTTTTTTTAAATTTAAGTTTGAATTTATGTTCTGAAATAAAAATGCAAATTAAAAAACTTTTACAAAATTGTCACACAAAAACCCACCTTAGGATATCATTACATGCTACATTTACCTAGAAAAAGTTAATAGATCTTATCAAAACAAATAGTTGTCAATTATAAATGTCAGTTCCTTTCTTTGAGCCAAAAGAAAGTTCTCGTGAAACGTTAGGTTGGTCTGAAAGCTGGTGAAGCACATGGGTGCAGTCAGCAATGCTGAACACCTCCATGAACCAAGGAAGCTTGGAGCCCAGCCTCCCTGGCTGGGGCTAAGCTCTGGCCTGTAGTTTCCCCACATGCACCAGAGAGGCTCTGATTGGATGCTTCTAAACTCCTATGTGCTGTGGTCCTTTCATTTCAGGTAACAGTACGAAATGTTACCACTATTTTCCCACTGATTGTAAACTTCAACAGAAAATAGCATGCTTACAATTTATACTACAATGAATATTACAGTTTTTGTGACTCTTCAGGAAAGCTTCATTTTAGAAGTTTCTCACTTGGTTTACTTTCTCACATCCCTTGGGAGTTATCTTCTACACACACTGTATGCACCTGAAGGAATCATCTGGCAATCATCTTTTTCTGAAGTGGCATCTGTAGCTCTGCCTGGTTTGGACAGAGCCACATCTTTGCTCAGGCTCAAACCATCTTCTCTCAAATTACAGCTTGCCCAGCTGGTCCATTTATTGTTTTTTCTTTACATTTCACTGTGTCTTATGCAGATGATATTTTAGTATGTTCCTGTAGAATTTCTTCATATCACCCTAGTTAGTAATGGTTTGAGGTTTTTACATAGTAGATCTTCAGATATTTTGCTGGTGTGTAAATTTCACCTGACTTGCATAAGAACAAATGAGAAGAAACATGCTGGTAGATCTTAGCACCTTATAGTTATGACTCTGTCTCTCCACTTATATTTCATGTTAGCCTTAAAAGAATCAACTCAGTTTACTCATACTTTCTCTGAAATATTTTCTTTCTCAATAGTAAATATAACTATTTTTATAAGAAATACATTCTCAGAACAAACATCACAAAAATCATGAGCTGTAAGTGATTTTAAAATGCACTTGATTCCTTTTCATACATCAGTTCTAAAATAAAGCTTCAACCTTTGACCATGCCCATGGATCCTCAAGGTGTAAAACACATCAGTCCACATCATCATTTCTACAGTACAACAATTACTAGAGTGCACAGTCTCAAGTGTGTAGGGGGAGTATCATTAAAATTCATTACTGCAATGTTTAAGTTCCTCATAATTACTTGAAAACTCATAGCATATCATCACAAAATGTTGCTAATTATGAAATATGTAAAATTACAATAATCTTTTCACAAGATTATTCCAATATCCATATTTATTTATTCCTAATTAAATTCAATTTCAACTACCTGATTTTGAGCCTGAGGTAGCCGGACTGTGGTTCTTTTGCTGGGCAAATGGCATGATTCAAACTACCATCTGAAGTATTCAATTAGAGAAGGAAATACAGTATCATTTATATTGTTTCCTCACTTGACATACAAACTTAAAAAAAGTCAACCATTTTTTAGTGATAAAAATATAGTTCTTTTGTGAGCATGGACACAATACATGGAATTTGTTTCTTTGGACGAAAAGTGGAGTCATAGGAAAAGGATTCAAATTCTGTTGCTACCTTCCGGTTAACCCGAGTAAGAATGTGCATAAACTCAAGGTTGTGTGCATACAATTTCACCGTAGCACAAAGTGACTGAATGAACCAGGATCCATCCTTTGAATTTCGCCAGGAATGGTAACCTGGTGCCGTGGAATATGCATACAAGAAGTCAGCCTCTACTGGTATTTTCTGGCACGCCATGTCATCATCAATACCACTGTCTGTCTTAGTGCCAGAGTCCAGTTCTGTACCCTGGCAGGCCTGAATAATGAAAAGTTTGGGTTTTCCAGCTAGACTTCTACAAAGATCCCCTCTGAAGAATTTTGTTAATATTTTCAGGTCAATGGGTCCATTTGTTCCAAAAATTATTCCTTCTTCACCATGGCTTAGAATTACACAAATAAAGCTGCTCCTTTTGCTATGATCTTCTTTAGAAACACTGCACATCAATTTCACAATTTCTTCACACTTAAGATCATTTTTATTCCTCACTTCATATTTCAAGTTCATAAATATTTCTCTGAGGTTTGCTGCATCTACATCTGTACCAGATCGAGCTGACATTCCAGTGCTTCTATGAAAGTTCTTATTATTAATAATTATGCATAAACCTATTTCAGGATAATCCATTTTGTATCTATTATCCAAGGATATTCCAGAGTCCATTGATTTGCTTCTGTGTATGATCTTTGTTTCTAAATCTTTCATGGATTTTGTATCCACTGAGTTTTCAGTGTTCTCCATGGCTACTTTTCTTAACGCACAGCCCCCACAGCTTCCAATCAGCAGAACCCACCTCTATATAGCCTTTTTTGAGAAGTGTCTTTTTTTTTCTTTTTCTTTTCAGTCCTGTGGATTGAACCCAAGGCTTTCTTACTGAGCAACATCCTCAGCCCTTTAAAAATTTCTTTAAAATTTTGAGACAGGGTTTTACTAAGTCACTAAGTTTCCCAGGCTGGACTGAATCTTGCAGTCCTCCTGCCTCAGTCTCAGAGTCCTGGGATTACAGGCCTGTGCCAGCACGACAGCAAACAAGTGTTTATTCAGACCACCTGGTAGGTCAGGTTTAAGGTGAACAGTCCAATTTTTCCCATTTGGAAAATGAATCCAGGTACTTTTATGAATAAGCTGCTGTTATTCAGGTTGGAGAGACTCAAGTGGGCAGGAAGAAGGGTGGAAGGAGTGTAGGGAGGGCTTCCTGACCCAGGAAACTTTCAGGTATGGAGCTCTTGACCAAGGTAGGCCCTAGACCATGAGGCTAGCCCAAAGGCCAGCAACTTATCTTCAGCAAGTCGGTTTTTCCCTGCACACTGCTCTGTATCAGGAGACCGCAGCTGGCACTGGCCAAGGAACCCTGTTCTCATGTGTCAGGCAGTGGACAGATTCCAGGCAGCTCAGGCCATCAGAGGTCTACACATATTGGGGAAGACAGGATTGTGTGTGCCTGAGGGTGGGGACAGGCTGAGGCAGCTTGGGTCTTCCTGAAAGTTGAGATCAGCAATTGAGGACATCAGTGACCATAGGCAAAGTGGAGAAGAGCAGAGGAAATGGAGCAGGGACTTCCATCCCAGTGAATGGTGCTGTCTTGTCTCCCAAGCTGGGATCCCAGGAATACCTCAGACCCTTCTTTCCACCAGTCACTCCCATCAAGCTTGTGCATTTCCCACTGCCCTCTCTCTCCCTCATCTGCTCAGATTCATGCCTATTGTTGTTCACCTACTTTCTCCAATTCTTCTATTCCACCTTCCTTGCTCTGGCCTGCATTTTCGTTTGAAAGTACAAACTGATCAAGCCACTTTCCAGCTTGATTCTTCAATGGCTCCCTATTGCCTTAGGCAGATATGAAATCCTCTAGGTCTGGTCCTTCTGTTTTCCTGTTGAATCACATCCTCCATACCTGCCTGGTTCTCATACTCCAGCCATGCAGAACTGCTTTTCAAACACTTGATGTTGCTTCACTTGGACCTTCGCTCACCTTGCTCCCTCTGCCTAAAGTCCCCCCACCTGCCCTGTTTCAGTGTTTGGCCTGGAGACCAACTGCCTGTGCTGAATTCTTTGTTTAGAACACAGAAACACAGCAGAATGCTGCATCAGTACTGGACCACACCATAAAGGAGCACTGTAGGTTGAGTTGTATTTTCCGTTTGTTTTGTTTCAGATCCCCTTAGTAGAGATAGAAGGTATTATGGTTTATATCTAGGTGTTTCCCAAAGCCTCATGTGCTCATAGGCAGAGATTTTCAGAGCTGCCTGGATCTAGGGTGTGTGATATTGGGATTAAAGGTATGTGGTACTAAATTAGTCCACTGATTGGAATGAGCATGTTTTGGGGTGTGGCTGAATGGATTTACTGAAGACAGATCTCCACCCTGGATGTGAGTGGCACCACCCAAAAGGCTTGTAGCCTGTTTGGGATAAAAGGGAAAGGCAGGCTTGCTTCTGCTGCTGCTGATTGCTGTCTTCTATGTACCACACCATGAAACAGCTCCTCTGCACATCTCTCTGCCATGGCACCCTGCATTGGAGCCTGCCAACTACTGACTGAAACCTCTTCAAACTGAGGTTTTAACTTGGTTGTCAGGTATTTGTCCAGCAATGAGAAAAGTAACTAAGAGAGAAGGCCTATAGCCAGCCCAGTTCCACGACAAAGCAGAGCCTAGAAGTAAGAGCACAAAGAATCTAATCAAAGGACACAAGAACTAGGGTCATGGTGAGGCAGATGCAGAGGACTCCAATGAAGCTGAGCAGAGGCAACCTCAAGTCAGCCGGCGGGGCCTGGAAATAGTGAAGACCCTCCCTGAGGACTCTGGCTGAGTCTGGAGGGTGCCACAACTCCTGCCCAACACCTAAGTCTACAGGGAGCAGACTTTTGGGAGCTGGGGCTGAACATTGCCCCCGCCCCATACAAGGAGGCTCAGCACAGCAACCAGAGGTAGGTAGTTACTTGCTCAAAGGGTAATCAGAGGGTAATAGAATAAATGGCTGGTGAGTTAGCCCACTCCACTTTCTTGGCTCAGTGGCTTACCTGTATGGTTTGGGACTCCTTTTGTGTTTGTCTGTTTGCTGAAGCTGGGAAGGGTGAGGGCCTTGTTTATGTTTGTCTTGCTGATCTTCTCAAAGAATCTTCTTAGTCATCTTGCCTGTTCTTTGATGCTGAGGTTGGGAGAGGTTACTCAATCAGATACTGCTTTGCCTCTTCCTGCTTCCTGTGTCATCCTGCAGCGCCCCCTGGCTGTTGTCTAATGAAAAAGGACTAGCTTTTCCCTACACCCTGAACTTCATCCTCTTCATCCACTGAATTGAGGTTCCCATTCTTTTGGCTTCTACCTCTTGGGCAGCTCCACAGAGGGAGGGGCTACAGTCATGATGCTGACCTGGGTGCACGATGGCGGCTCTCAGCCACTCACTGAAGGTGACTGAGCATGAATATGGGGAGAACGAGTAAAAACAATGACTCTAGAAGATGTTAGGAATGAGCATGGAGATAAGGCAATAGATTCTCTGCTAAAGTATTTGAAAAAGAAGAGTGAGAGTGATAAAGAGAGCCCAAGAAAGGGCCAGGGATTTAGCTCAGTGGCACTGCACCTGCCTTGCAAGCACAAAGAACCCAAGAAAAACATTTGCAAAGAATCCAACTTAAAGTTACTTTGACTATGGACTCTGCTATTAAGTACAATACTTGAGGCAACAAAGCCCTGAAGATACAGGAAATGATGAAAATTTACCACAGCCTGTAAAACAAAGACTGACGAATGCGTGAAACTAGGAAGAAATGATAAGAACTTGTCTTGGCTCAACTCTTCACAATTTTCTTTTCACAAAGTAGGAAGCAAGGTGCATCTGTCCTGCATTCCATCACATGGTGCTGCATGGGCCAGGCTTCCCCTTCCCAGTGCTCCACTGCCTCTGGCCACTGCCTGGAAGCCACCATCCAATCCTATCACTGAAGGCGCATCTCTCACCTAGACGCTGATTGCCTTCTGTCCTTCGTATGAGTAACAGACATTTTTTTCTGACCGAGTTTATAGTTGAATGGTGGGGAAGCAGGGCAATAATTAATGAGCAGGTCAGTGAAACAGGTCTTCCACATACAGATGGAGTATCCTGTATCTGAAGTGCTCTGGATCAAACATGTTTCAAATTTTGGAATATTTGTATATACATAATGAAATTCTTGGGGATGATATCCAAGGGTAAACATGAAATTCATTAGTTTCATATACATCTAATACACATATCCTGGAAATACCTTTATATAACTTTGAGTGTGCCCACACGAGGTCAGGTGCAGAAATGTTCCACGTGTGGCATCATGTCAGCAAGTTTCTGATATTAAGCCAGGCATGGTGGCATGTATCTGTAATCCCAGCTACTTGGGAGGCTGAGACAGGAAGATCTGAAGTTCAAGTGCAGCCTGGGCAACTTAGTGAGACCCTGCCTCAAAATAAAAATAAAAACAAAATAAAAAACTTTAAAAAGGGCTAAGGATGTATCTCAGTGCTCCCGGGGTTCAATCCACAGTACTGAAAAAAAAAAAAGTTTCTGGTTTCGAAGCATTTTGAATTTTGGGTTTTTGGATGTTGCATGTTCAATTTTTACTGGAGGTGAATACAGCAGGAATAGTGGCAAATGGAGTGGGGTGATGGTTGGAAGTGAGAAAAGGCAAAACCTAGAAATATGTAGCAGCTATGCGTTGGTGGCCTGAAAGTACTGGAGGGCAGTCTGGTTGGTGCAGTCTCAGGACAGAGTCTTGCAGGCAGCGGTGGAAACAGGGACTGTACCAGCTGGGTAAGGGCTGTTTAGAAGTCAACTTTTCCCATGTGACCTCACGTCATTAGCCCCTTGCCAAGTCAGTGCATTCTTTATACTATAATACAGATATACAGACCCCATTCCTCTGACCAGAAGGGTCTTAAATAATCAGACAGGAATTATCCTTTCCTTCATTCAGAAAGTATTTATTGAACACCTACTCTGTCCCAAGCACTGTTCTAGATGCTGGAGATTAATGCAAGGATAAAGTCTTTGCCTTCATGGAGCTTATATTCTAGAGGGAAGACAGACAATAAACAGGTAATGAAATATGTAAATACAGTATAAATGTTAAAAAGAAAACACAAAGCACAGTTAGGAAGTACTAAGTGCTGTGGGTGCTCTTTGATAAGATGGCCAAAAAGGGCTCTCTCAGGTGTCATTTGAATGTGATTCAGAGGAGACTCAGGAGAAGAGATGGAGAGAGGGCTGGGGCAGAGAGCAGGAGGTGGGAATGCCCTGAAGAAATGTGCCTCAAGTCTGTCAGGAAAAGTGAGGAGGGCTTCAGGCAGGACAGTAGGTGGGGCAGGATGGTAGTGCCAAGATCAGAGAGGGGAGCATGGCCAGATCACAGGGGCCTTGTGGACTACTGTAAGCTCTCTGCAGTTTATTCCCAATATAAAGAGCAGACCCTGGCAGGTAGAAAACGGGAATCACTCCATGTCCTTAAAAGGATCCTGCTAGCTGCTAGGTGAAGAACAGGGAGTAGGAGCAAAGTAAAAAGAGGAAGTTATATTAAGAGCTGGTAGTGTCTCGGGAGAGACGGATGGCTAAACCAAGCTGCTGGTGAGTGACAGTCAGATTTAGGATTCATTTTCACTTGATGTTACCCACAAGGCCAAGAAGCAACATAGGATTCATTTTCAGAGGTAATGTAATTACCTTAACTTAGTGGCCTCACAGTGATAGGGGCCAGAGGGAGTTATGACCCAGACTGGGCCAAGAGAATATCAGCTTGTGTTGTCATGCAATCTGTGGTTTATTATTTAGATGTCCCCCTGAAGCCTCATGAGTTCATAGGTGGGGCTTTTGGGAGGTGACTGGATCACAAGGGTGTGATACTCATTAGTGGATTAGTCTATCCATGAGTTTATAGCTAAATGGGAGGCGAAGCCTGGTTGGAGAAGGCAGGTCACTGTGGGTGTGGCCTGGAAGGGTATCTCTCCCTCTGTCCTTGATTGCTCTCTGCTTCCTGTGGCTATACCAAGATCCTTTTCTCCTCTGCCATGCCACCCTGCCTTGGAGCCAGCCAACTATGGGCTGAAACAGCAACACACTGTGAACCAAAATAAACCTTTCCTCCCTAGAGTTGTGGGTGTTAGGTACTGAATCGCAGGTAGGAGAAAGTAATTAAGTCCAGTGGCATTAGGTGCTCTGCCTCTCAAATACTGTGATGTACCTGGCAGGGTCTAGCTACTGAGTGACAGAACCGAAATTAGAACATGTACCTTGGAGGCTCCTTGAGCCAGAATTTATCTTTACTTAGTTGGTTAGGAAACTGTGGCCAAAAGATGCTGGGAAGTATAATCTATCCAGCATGAGATCAGTTACATTTGTGTTTCCAAGAAGCAGCAGGTGCACTGCTCCCCCTTAATGTCTCCTCTAGGAGGCAGATGAATAGATACACACTTACTTTGAAGGGTTAATGAGTGATAGCAAAAGATCAAAAGTAGCATGCCAAATGTCCATGTGGTCTGCTTGGACCTGTTTGTTTTCCACTCGTTTTTGAATTTAGTTGCCTGGCTGGATGACACCACTGATTCCAGCTGACAGATGGAAAACAATGTGCCGCTGGAGGAGGCAGAACTTTCTCAGTAATCACTGGCTCCCTCTACTCCCAGAGAAAGAATCAGGCCAACATCCCAACACAGTTCTTCACTCAAGTCAAATGAGATTTTCTGTTTGAGTGGGAGCATGTCATTAGAGTATGCCAAGTGAGCATTTTCCAAAATCCTTTCTCCCCAGGTTTCTGCTGCAGTCAGAATTCCAGAGGGCCTCATTCACATGGCCATCCTGTCAGCTGGAGTGTGCTGGAGAGGAGAGAGGAGGGGAGGCAAGGGGAAGGAAAGGGGGGTGTTGGACTCAGACTGGTTCTACCCAAATTCAGAGGAGGGAGGGGTGAGGGGCACAGGGATGATGGCCAAGCGTACAAAGCTTCAATTAGACAGGAGGAATACACATTTTTTTCTTTGAGATATATTGTACTGTGTGGTAAATGCAGTAAACAGTAATGTACTGTACATTTCAAAATCACTAGAATTTCAAATGTTCTCATCCCAAAGAGTATTTGAGATAATGAATATCCTAATTAGTTTGACCTAGTTATTTCACATTGTAATGATAAATCATAACACCACTTTGTATTCCATAAATATATAAACTATAAATTACCAATTTATAATTTAAAAAATAGCGATGTGCTGTGCAGCTCTCTGATAGCTCATGAAAGAGTGAGTTCAGTTTACTAAGTCACCAGGAACCGAGCAAACTTGGCATAAGATTAAAAAAATAACTTTACATCACACACTCCTGTTCTGATACAGTTTTATTGTAGAAGGAGGAGAATCAACACATTTTACAAATTTAAGCTCCAACAAGTTGTAGATGTTCTCTCCAGACATTCCTGTGCCAGGTCCCCACAGGAAACAAGTGGACATGAGCCAGGTGTAATATTCCAGATAAGTAGAAACAAGGACTGGGTGCTATCTGCAATTGCTTTAGTTGTCTTTTTTGTGGTGGTGGGGATGGAACCCTGGGCCACATGCATGCTAAGTAAGTGCTCTACCACTGAGCTCCATTCTGAACCCTAGACATTTCTGAGAGAATGGTCATATTGAAATGACTGCTTAAATGTTGCCTAAACCTCCTGAACAAATCCCTAAAGGGCAGTAGTGCCCCAGGAGCCTGTGTAATTAAAACATCCTGTCAGGATCTAACATTCTGAGCAACTGGGACTCTATGTGAACTTTGGGTCATTCACGAAAGATGAAGAACTTACAGGTGACAATGTCTGACACATGAGGACACCTCTGGGTACAGGAAAACTCACAAATCTCCAGAAGTGGGACCATCCTCACTGGAAGCCCAACTGGGCCTCTGGTTCTCAAAGCCACTGCACATGTGGAGGCTAATTTCTGAACTCGGGAGGTACCAGGATGGAAATGTGGTTTCTATGAAGGATAAGAATGCAAGCTATGTGGGCTAATAGCCCAGCTCCCATCTTTTTCCAGCTTCCCTTCTCACATGGCCTTGAGAAAGCTGGGCAGCAGAGGAGCTGATGAGGCTCAGTAGGGACTGAAGAGGTACAGTCTGGGAGCCACACCGGGGCGGGGCGGGGGGCGGATTTCTGGAATTAATGCAAGTGCCGCCCTTTCAGAAAGAAATGCTTCAGATGGCACCTGTTATTTCAAAGTGAACTATAAAGATGCTTTTGACTGCTTGGAGTTTCCGGAATTCTGATATGCAATGGGAGCAGCGGTGAGGGATAGGGGTTGGCAGTCCAATCTGTGATTCCCTGAGTAATCGTTTGGAATCCATCCTTCCAAATTGTACAGCAGCCCATCCTATGTACTGTGTTATTTTCTGTGGTTAATATGCAGCTGAGAAGATGGGTGGGGTGGAGAGAACAGGAACGGGGCCCCAGCTCTTTGGAAGGGAAAGGGGTGCTGTAACTGCCACATGCATTTCCTGAGGTGGTCCTGCATGGTGCTGAGACACAGAACAGAGGTCTGGTTAGAGCTTGTAGGACCAACAGCCACTGTGCTGGCAGGTGGGGAGTGTGTGTGTGTGTGTGGCCAGAAGGAGAGGATGTGTATGTGCATACACATGAGGGAGAAGAAGAAAATGGAGGCTGGTGGCAACAGAAGAAAATATGCATACAATTGATCAAAGAGAAAAGTATTCTTCATATTAATTGGCTGAGCCAACTCATTTCTTATTTGGGGGGCATTTAGGAATATGGATATATATATATATACATATATTTATATACATATATATATACACATATATATGTATATATATATGTGTGTGTATATATATATATATATATGTAAACACTGAGCACCAGATTATTTTACAATCTTGTACTAAAACCAATGACTTCCCTTCTTGCACTCCAGAATTTCCAAAATATTCTTACCCAACAACAAAAGAACTGGGCATCTCCCCTATGTTTTGTTTAGTTCTTCCCCCTGATGCTCGCTTATTCTCAGCTCTGAGCATCTTCCTTGCTCCCCTTCCCACCTGGCCACTGCTTACAGGTGAGCATGAGGAGCAGGAGGAGAGGCAGGTGCCACAGGCTGCAGAAGAACAGTTTCCGGGAGCTCTTCCGGTCTGCATCCTTGTAGAACTGGAAGCTGAGGTAGGAAATGTACAGGTTGATGGGGAGGGAGATGATGGGGAAGGCCCATGTGGTGACGTCTAACACAGGTGCAGCCACGCACAGTCCGGCCAGGGCCAGGCAGTGGCGCAGTGCCACACGCCTGCACAGGCCTGGGTGAGTCACTGACATCATGCAGTAGCCACCCCGGGAGTAGTCTTCACGGAGGCCCCAGCTCAGCGCGTTGAAATGAGGGAACTGCCAGGAGTAGAGGATTCCTCCCAGAAGAAGTCCTCCTGTTCAGAGGTTCAGATGCAAAAGAGGGAAACAAAGTCAGTGATTGTATGTAGGGTCTGGTACCATCTGTGGCTGCAGGCATCCACTGTGGGTCTTGGAATGTATTCCCTGAGGATATGAGAAGACTATTGCAATTAGTTCACCCAACAAACTTTTAGAAAGTTGTCGCCATACACAGACCTGTAGTAGTAATAGTAATAGTCCTAGTACTTGTTTCAGTGATAAACAGATATTTATCTTGACAGGGAGTCTTCTTGGGAAATAAGAAAGGACAAAGGGAAAGTTGGGCCATAAAGGTATACTGAAATAGCAAACCAGGTGATGGAAGCAGACTTTGTCTTTTAATGGAAAAATAAAATGATCTCCAGACTATAAGGTATGATAAGGAGGGGGTGTTGTTAGAGATTCTCAGGGCACAAGGTGGCATTGAAGCCCCTAAGCATGTGTATGGAGTAGCCACCCCCAGCTCACCAGCTGTTTGCAGTTATGACAGCTACAAGCACAGGGGGAAGCTGACAAGACCAAGAAATTTCTTGTCAAGAAAAACATCAGCGATAATTTAGACAGGGGGAGAGACAGGATGGTTCACAGATCTATGTGTGTGTTTTGTTCTAGAAGTGGCTGAGAAAGCAAACTCGGCTTGGAAACCAAACTCGAAATGGTTAAAATGGCAGGTTCAAATGTGGAATTGTTCTTGTCTTTCTCAAAAGCCCTTTCTTGTGTGTCAACTGTAGTGTTTTGTGTTGCTCAATACACATTTTCAGTTATGCCTCTGCTTAAAATAACATAACTTGGAAAAAAATAAAAAGCTCATTCTCATTTTCAGAAGAGTAGTAGTATGCTTCTGTCTGTGTGAAAGGAAACTGGTATGGGTTTGGCTCCTGTCACAAATGAAAGCATTTTAGAAATCACAGCTTAGTCTTAATGGATTATAATCAGAAAACTACCACCCACACACAGTTCAGACTCGATATGCTTCAACTGCCTCTGCACTATAAAAGATGTAAAACAAATTGCTGTCTTCATCAAGATAAGGTGAACTAGAACAGGAAGGCTTGAATTAGTCCTGGGCTGTGGCAGGACCCACCTTCCTTGTGGGGTAAAATAAAGCACTTAGCTTGCAAATTCAAAGGCCTTCTTTACTCTCAAGATAAGTACTGTGCTCATCCCCTAGCCTCACTCCCCAAGCAGTCAGTTTTCACTGGGTCTGCTTCCCATGATAGCAAACACTGGCTGGGAGCTAAATGACAGGCAATATCAGTCCTGAAAGTCCTTTGCCATCAAGGTCTGGCCAGGGAGAGACACCTCTGAAATGAGTGCTCCCTTAGGGACAGGACTCATGGCCAGCACACGGAAGAAGCTATACACACACTCAGCCTTGGAAAGGTCAAGGAAGGGTTCCTGGAAAGAATGATTTGTGAATTGAAATCTAAAGATGGTTTCTGAGTTTCAATGCTGTCACACAAATGAGCATTTTCCACTTCTTTTAACTGAATCGTCTCATTTTTCTACCTTACCCCGCTGTACATATTTGGTTTTCAGTCCTTTTGGGGGGAGGGTGGCGTACCGGGGATTGAACTCAGGACCTTGAGCTTGTGAGGCAGGCTGTGGGACCACTGACCTAAATCCCTGGCGGTAGGTTTTTAGTCTTAACTAGAATGTCTGCTTCCTTGTGTTTAGTCAAACACTTGTTTGTGCATGACTATATAAAATACTGGAAATCTTTGAAAGAAGTGGCATACCTGTGCTCTCCAGAGCACAGCAATGTCCTGAGATCATGTTACAATACTGGCTACAAGGTGACTCCAGAGCATATGAAGGTGTCCAGGACATTACTGTTTTCCTTTTTGCACAGAAAATGGAGAAGAGCACATCTACTATTCTGTGTGTGGACAAAGGAGAGAAACCTTACCCAACAGGGGACATACTAACTAGGTAAGGAAGTCTGAGCAATGTTATCCTGGTGACTCTTTAAAGACACATGTATTTTTCAGCTTTCTTCAAAACACTTAACAATCACTTTTGCAACATACAGACTTGGGGAGAATCTCACTCATTTCTACTTCTGCTCCAAATGCTCTTGTCCACAGTATACTTCCATCACTTTGTTGAAAACAAACTAAGGCAATTCTAGCTAAATGGTATCTGACAAATGAAGACAAAAATTCTCAAGTTGGGATTCTCTCAATATGCACTCTTCCAAGGAAAATGCCTTCTGGGATGTAGTGCAATGGTTTTAGTTTGCTTTCCCTGACTGCCTGGTGGGCACCTTCCCGCCCCCATCCCAAGTCATTCATTGTCATTCACCATCCACGCATGGCTTTGCAAAGGATAAAGAAACCTAGCTCTATTTTGGAGCCTTGTTATTGGGTCTGGGGCACAATAGGCTGCTCTCCTAACGAGGTCCTGTGCAGTGCATCTGGGCCACGGCAGCTATATCTGTGCTTTCATGCTTATATGGTTATGTAAACTGGTGGCTAGCAAGGGAAGCAAAGCCAGACTCAGAGCTTCATGGTCACAGATTTCAAAGCCTTTCTTTTGAGGGTTCACACAAAGGGGTTTGTGAAACAGATCGGCCTCAACAGTGGAATATACTTCTATGGTGGTACAGATAAAGGGAAGAGGATGTGGGGCCAGTTTATCAACTGCACCAGAGACAAAAGGGAAGATTAAATGTCCTCTGAAAATAGGAAGTAGAGTGGACAATGGTTATTTGCTCTTGAAGAATCCTTTGGAAAGTGACTTGGGAATAATGATGCAGCTCAGGGGCTGGAGACAGGAGATTCTCCTCTCCCTCACCTTGTATGTTTCCTGCCATCCACCAGTCACAAGGTGGGTTCCAGGGAAAGATGGGAGCCCAGGAAGCACAGCTGATTCTGAAAAAGGGCTCTCCTCTCTTACCATTCCCCTGGAAGTTTAGCACCTGTGTATTCTCTTAGACATTCAAATGGTTCCTACTCCCTTAGATCACACTGGAAGGTCTCTTTGTCTTTATCTCCCAAATATTAATCTAGTCACTGGAAAGTACTAATTTAATGTGCACTATGCACCAGATACCATGTCTACCCAAGGCTGCCCTGCCAAGCCACATCTATCATTCTATCCAGGAAGCACTAGCCCAGTACCCTAAAAGCTTGTGTTCAATCACAGTCAACAGCCATACTGACCGTTTGCCTCCAATTATACTACCATCTTGAGTCTAGCAATGTTTCTAGTACATTCTTTCAATCTTTTTGTCTTTTGAATGAAGTACATTTCCACTAAAGTTTTCCTTGTCTTTAAAAATGTTAATTAATCTAGCTCTAAGGCTAGTTATGGTAAAATCCACACATAAACAGACACCCATTTTTTGTTTGTCTGTTCGTTTTTTTGGTACCAGGCATCAAACTCGGGTCCTTGCACTTGCAAGGCAGGCTGCGGAACCACTGCGCTAAATCCTGGGCCCGACACCCACTTTTGAGTTGAATTTCAAACTGAGGCAGTATTTTAAAGGAAATCTTTAAAAATTACTTGGGTTAGACAGTACTTGGTACTTAGCAAGCCCTCCATAAATATCTGCTGAATGAATGGGTGATTCTCCCTATTTGACTCTATTTTCTTAAATGGGACAAAAAGAGGTAAATAGAGTGAAACAGTATTTAACAATTTGTAGTTTACCAGCTGAGGTTAAAAAAACCTTTCTCTTTTTGTTACTAAAACCATCCATCTGCCAAATGTCACTTCCTGATAAGAGCCCATTTCTAAGTCCTCATTTGTAACTGAATGTTGGCTGACATAATTAATGTTTACCGAACAACATCTGAATTACAAACCAAAGACAACTGACAAGTCAGCTCTACAAAATGGTCATCATAGAGGCCCATTCTATAAATTCCCAAGGCATGAGATTTATTCAAATTTAGGAAAATGACCAAAAAAGAATCTATTTTGAAGAAATGGGGATGTGGAAAAAGAAGTGGCTTTGACAAGGAGGAGGGGGAGGGGATTTAACCTGAAGCCTCTGAGATAAACAAAATAGTCTCTGGAGATAAACACTGTTGAGAGGCCTAATGCGTGTGGCTCCAGGACTGCTTGAGGCTGGAATGTCAGCTGCCAGGCACTTATCTGCAATATCCTCCTTTCCTCATTTCAGAATGGGCTCCTTCATCAGGGCTCCAGCAGGTCACTTTTGTCATGGCTGTCCCCTGTGTGCAGAATAAAACCAAGTGCTTCAGTTCCTGAGACGACAAGCTGGCTAGACCAGGGACCAGAAAACAGCCCTCTCAACTCTGCTTCCTGAGTTTTAGCTGGGAAGCATTTTTAATGTTTCCTGCTAGCGGTAGTTAAACTTTAAAAATAATAATAAAATAAAAGCCAAGATAATTAGGGAGCTGCTTCTACCTGCTCAGAGGAAAATGGACATAGGTAAAATCCCGCGACAATGACTACCTTTATAGACAGGAGGGCTTTGTAAAATGAAGCTGTTTCCTGTGCACAGAGCAGTGGGCAGCAGAGCCTGAAGTGCCACAGGTGAAACTATTGACAAGGCAGGCTGAGAAGAGCTGAGCTGTTCATAGTTCTCTGTGCAATTAAAAAAAACCTGCAAATACCAAGAACAACTGACATTCCTGTAGTTCTTACACTTTGTCAGTTAATGCTGTTTAATTTTTTCCACCGCCCTGCCCTATCCTACTTCATTCACAGTGCTGTGCAGCTAAATGAAGGGGCGGATCAGGTGCCCACACTAGACCTCCCCACTGGGCATCCGAAACAACAGGCCTTCTTTTTTTACTACCTAATTAAAATAATAAATCAAAATATACATTGGGGGGAAATCACAACTCATGGAATATTCTTCTTCTATGTTCCATGTCCTTATTGGAGGAGGCAGCAACATATCTTCAGTGCTCAGGGTCCTCTGGACGTTTTTATTGGCTCTTAGCCACCCTAACCACAAAAAGATGCAAGTGCCCAGAAGGGAGAAAAGGTGCTTCTGAACACTGTTGCATATATTTCCTTTTTCTGGGGATCACTCTGACCCACATGCTGCTGGGAACACACAACATTTTCTATAACGATCTTCTTTAAACATCTCTCCTCCCAATAGGTAGTTCCTTAAGGTAAAGCCTTTCCCACAGCCTTCAAGATTTCCATTTAAAATACTGTCCCTGAGCTGCTTCCATTCCAAGCTTGACCACCATCTACCAAGCATCAGTAAAGGCATTTGCAAAGGTCCTGGCCACTAAATTGTGAGTGCTAGTTATTTTATGCGCTGGTTCCTGGGTGGGGCAAAGGAATGGGGGTATGTTCAGTCCCATCTGCCTCTCTTCAAACATAAAGCTTTCATCCATTCCCCAACTTGGAGATTTGCTGGTGTTAACATGTTCCTTCAAAGGACAATCAGACTGACCCTTCAATAAATACTTAAAAGATAAAATTTTGAGTAGAAAGGACACAGAAGGTGAGGGTGGAGGCAAGTTTAGGGGAGGAGAAAAACCACTAGGGAGGGGAGAGGAAGTGTGGAGGAGAGTGGGTGGGAGGTGTGAGAAAGCACAAGGCTTGGGAAGACAATCAAAGAAGGTTTTGAACCTTACTGATTTCTAGCACCACAGGAGAACCTGCTGCACATCCTCAGTTAAATAAATTGGTACCTGCCTCAGCTTCCAACTCTATCTCTTCCTTACTCGCAGGGTAGTTCACCATTGTGTTTCAAAGACTTCTCTATTATAGGCTTCTTCAAAGTGATTGTTTTCTGGAGGTTCAAAGATTAAACCGTTTGCAGATACTATAGAAACAGGAAACATTTTTGGCTATTTTTTCTCCGAAGGGCTCTTTCCAGTCAGACATGTCCCTTACGAGCCAAGATGAGAAATATAAACTCTGTGGCTAATACAAATGATACCATTAGTGCACTTTGAATAATACCATCTGTCCATGCCCTCCCTTTGCCCCAATTTCTAGGTATTTTCAAGGTATTCTAATAGCTGATGTTCTTTCTCACTGTCTTTGCAGATTAGTGATTTTTAAAGTGTGGTCCCTGGACCAGGGCCATCAGCATCATTGGGAACTTGTTTGCAATGAAAATGGTCAGAAGAGCTGGGGATTTAGCTCAGTGGTGCTGCCGCCTGCCTCACAAAAGAAAATGGTCAGAACCCCACACAAGACTTACTGTATCAGAACTCAGAGTGTGAGGCCCAGGAATCTGTGTTTCCACAATACTCCAGGCCATGGGGGTGTGCACTACAGTTTGTCAGCCAGTGGTTCTGATCGAGTGAGATCACAGGTACAGTCTCATCAATGCCTCATTATTTGAACTGCAGATTCACACGAGGCAGAGGGAACACAGACTCAGAAGGATATCAATGTTTGCTTCTAGGTGGTACTATCCAGGATAGCTTTCAGCAATGATGGAGATGTCCTACTTCTGTGCTGTGTGTATAGGAGCTACAAGCCACATATGGCTCTGCACACCTGCAATATGGTTAGTGGGAACTGAATGCTTACATTTATTTGGTTTAAATTTAAATTGCCACCTGTGGTTAGAAGCTACTATTCTGGACAGTGCAGCTGCAGAAGATGAATAAACTATATTCAACCATGTTCAACTCAGTTTCTAAAACCCACTGATAAAAACTTTAAAATACATTCTCTTCAACTGTATCATCTATAAAGTGGAAAATAACATCTTGAAACTTCTTAGAAGCGGTTTAATGCACTATGTAAAGTAATAGTATTCTTTTTGCACAAACACCACATGGCTTTAGGCACATGATCTGATCTAATTGGACTGGTGATAATGATAACTTTGGGCCAGTGAACCATATTGGTACTGAGTGTTCTGCAATGCATCTTAAAGATGTACAGAGAAAGAATATAAGAGAAGTCAATATCAAAAGCTGCCATAAATCTTCTGGAATACTGTATTATACCAGGTTCTATTCAGGGAGACAATGGGTCTCACTTTTTGAGACAGCTATTTATTTTCAATCTGCTATCTAATCAGGGTATGGTCTAGCCCTTAGCTGCCCATCTTCAATATATACAAGTGACTAAATTTGGATGACAGAAATATTATATTTAACATTTAAAAACAATTCATTTTAACTATGAACATTAGCAGTTTACCCACACAGACTGTCCCTCAACAAGAAGGGGCTCCTGCCTACTCATGTGCTTCTAAATGAGGAATTTTGCAACACTGCCTCTCTGAACTCTGGGGAGGAAATGTTAGCTCTACAGACCGAGGCTCAAATTCTTCATGAGGAAATTGCTGAGGGTGTTAACAAGGGTTCCTACCTCTCAGTGAGGAGCTGAGCACTAGGACCCTGAACACTAGTGGTGATCGCTGGACCTGATTATGTGGACCTGGACTGGAATGTCTTCACCTGTGTCCAGTGATACCTCTCTGCGGTCCCTGGAGGCTGTGACCCTAGTCCTGTCTGGGTTTCCCACACAGAAAGGGAGTTTTTGGTGCCTTCTTCTATGTCAGGACTGAAGAAACTGAATAGGGCTTAGGCACTCCTGTCAGGGCACAGGGTATTTTCCAGCAGGGGCCCCTGTACTGAAGTACAGCTCCATCCTGAGGAAGGGAGGACACCAGAGGATGCAGAGCCCAGGGAGTCACTCACTTTCTTCCATGGGCCCCACCCTGAATGTCTAGGGGTCTGGAGGGTTGCAGATTATCAAGTTACAGAGTCAGGTGAGGGATGGAGCTCCAGCAGAATTGAGGAGGAGGAAGAATGTGGGCAGAGTGAGAACTGGTGGTCTGTGGGTATGCTCTCTGCATGTAAATGGTAAACCGCGTTAGAACTCAGATAACATCTAGTCCAAGGATACCAAGTCCATGCACCCCAGGTCCCCACACCCAACAGACTTCACTAACACATCAAGCCTATATGAACTTCATTGTGTTCAAAACAACAGCTAGGGGGCTGGGGGTTTAGCTCAGTGGTTCCGCCGCCTGCCTCGCAAACGCAAAGACCTGAGTTTGTCCGCTAGTACCAAAAAAAAAAAAGCCCAACAAAAAACAACAGCTAGGGAACAATGATGAACTGTAATCTGTAAATGAAATTTGTAAATCAAATAAAACTTCATGACTTGTCCCCATCTGTGTTAACTCACTTACTGTATGAAGGATCACTGAACATAACAATAGCATTATCTATCAGGAGCTGAACACTTACCATGGTGGAGCACTTTACATATAAAAATTGACTGGATTACATACAACAATGGATTGAATGTGTCCCCCTAAAAGCATGCAATGGAAACTTAGTCCTCAACACAACAGGGTTCAGAGGTGGGGCCGGATGGGAGGTGTTCAGGTGTGGAGGAGTCCACTTCAGGAACAGATTAATGAGGATTATAAAAGGGTTTGAGGGTTTGCAAGTTTAATCGCTTTCTCTCACTCTCCCTTTTTGGTTTTTTGAGACAGGGTTTCACTATGCAGTTTAGGCTGGCCTTGAACTCACTATACAGCCCAGGCTGGCCTCAAACTTGAAGCAATCCCCCTGACTTAGCCTCCTGCATGCTGTGACCACAGGCCCATGGCTAACACAATCAGCTGCAAATTTAATCTCATGTGTGGCCATTCTCTCTCTCTTTCTGTCTTCCTCCCTCTCCCTCCTGCCATGTAATGATAGCATAGAAGCCCTTGCCAGATGGTGGGACTTTAACCTTGGATTTTCAAGCCTCCAGAATTATAAGAGATAAGTCGTTTTTCTTTATAAATTAATCTGTAGTCCTCTGTTACAGAAATATGGGACAGACTAAGACAATGACTAACTCTCACAACAGCTCCACACAGAGACCAGCGCCAGCCCCAAGAAGGAGATGAGTAGGCTCTTGCAGGAAGAGGCCAAGTCTATTCTCAATGTCACTCAGCTAAGGGGGAGGTTGGGTTCCAGCCCCAGGTGGCCTAGGTCTGTCCTAGCTCTGTCAGGGTGCTCTGTCCCGGCTCATAAGCACTCTGATACTCTTGCCTCCCATATGGATGAGATTCCACTTTAAGGTTTATTATAGAGAAAAGAGTACAAAAGTTTTAGAATATTAATTTGTAGATCACTAAAATCCACCATTTACAGGATATTAAAACTGTTTGAAGAGATGATCATGGCAAAGGTGTAATCACCATTTGTAAGCTTGCCAAATCGGAGTGTATGAGCTTTTGTGAAAAGTTTCAGAAATGTGGCTTACAGGGTAACGGTTTATGGTCAACTACCTTTGATCTCTCATGTGAAAAATATGTACTTACATATATTGCAGGAAACCTCACCACTTCCTTCCTAAGTGTTGGTCAAAAGCACTAATTACTTGACTAATTAAGACTGCAAAACTTCCCTTACAGATGGTAAAAATGAGCCATTTTCACCCCACAAATTTAGTTGTGACATACCACCCAAAAAATGTAGAAATGTTTCAATGGCTTTATTGTAGACAGCATGAACAATTTAAGCAAATCATATGAAAATAAATTAGAAACTAATGAAAATAATCTGCTCTTTCATAAGAGATGGAAATAACCCTGTTCTACAGGAAGGAGGGAAGCTTGCCAATGAGGCTGCACCCCTTTGACAGGGGACAGAGGCCAGGTCCACATGCCTTCCCCACAGGCTGGGGCATCCAGAGTGAATCAGTCAGTCCTAACTTGATTTGTGGTTTTCAGGGACTTTCTTTTTACTTTACCTGTGGTTACAGGCTGAGGCAGCACTGCCTTATGTTTTCACCTGGATCTTCCCTAGAAGGGAGAATATACATCATGCCCAGTGAGCCAGAATGACATGGTGTCCCTTTAGCTCTTTATTCCCAGTATTTCATGCCATTGCCCAAATAATTAGTAATGAATAAAATGGAATCCAACTAGTCCTTGGTGTGGGAGACCTCTGACTAATACATGCTCGTGTTTGCTCAGAGAGCCACGAGCTCTTGCTTCTGGCACCGATGCCACAGGTCTGTGGAGAGAAGTAGATACCTGGCACTGGGAGACACTCACCTGCATCAAGGCTGCCAGTGGCTGCTGTCCAGCCCATGACAGGTGGGATGGCACCGACCACGGCTCCGACCCACGTGTTGGCAATGCTCATCCTCTTCAGAGGTGTGTAGCAGCAAGTGTACAGGAAAATGTTGAAGAGTCCCAAGGCTCCTGTGAGTGGATTCACTCCCCAGGTCAGAAGAACGACTCCTGGAACTGCACAGCAAGCGGCAAAGGACACGGCCAGCAACGGGCTGGAAGACAAGAGAACACCAAGTAACCATTTTCCACTTAACTCCATCACACATCATCTTCTCCCTCTAGGGAAGACAATGCCTACTTTGCATACAGTTAGTACTAAACAAGGGACAGCTGGGAACAACTCGCTTAGTCCACAATACTGCAAGATTCGGACAAAACAGTATCAGTTCTGGAAACTGTCCTTCCATTTATACATTATTCTTTTATTAGTACATGTTTGCAGTACATACACACTGATTATGTTCTCTGTGGGGGCGTCGGTACATGTACGTAACACATTTTAATGTTTTTTCAACTGCAACCCTTCCCCTCCCTTCCCACCCACCTCCCTCCATCCCTCTGTCCCATTCCCTTTTGCAAAATATCTGTCTCCTGTTTTCCTATTCTCTTTTATTTTGCTCTTCATTTATATTTTGAATTTCTCATATACGAGAAACCATGCAATATTTAAGCTTACGGTCTCAAAGTGGATCCATTTTCCTACAAATGATTCAACTTTAGCCTTCTTTATGACACAGCAGTACTCCACTGGATATAAACACCACATTTTCTTTATCTATCTGTTGATGGACACAGAGGATGCTTCCAAGATTTAGCTATTATAAGTTATGCTGCAATACACATGGGTATGCAGGTATTACTATAATACAATATCTTTAACTCTTTGGGGAAGATTCCTAGAAAGGGAATAACTGGGTCAAATGGAATTTCTAGTTTTAGTTTTTTGAGAAATCTCCATACTGATTTCTATAGTGATTGTACTAATTTATTTTCCTACCAACTCTATTGGGTATAAAACCACATTTTCTTTATCCGTTCATCTGTTGATGGACATATAAGGATCACCTAATTAACAACAGTGAGTAATAAGGGACTGCCTCAGTGAATACCATCACGGCAATATTTGTAATGAATTTCAGGTTCAGAGTGGTGCCATTTGTACCATAAGTGTGAACACTAGGTGGCTATTGTCTGGCAACGGAGTCATAACTGGGTTTACAGATAAGGGATTTTTAAGAGGCAGCTGCATAATATTACATATGTAAAAGAAAACCATCACCTAAAGCTGTACAATGACAATGATGATTATAAACCTATTTTCTTAACAGAGCCCACTTTTAAAAGCAGACCATATGCAATCTTATTGAAGACTTTTCGAGTCTAGATAAATTGGATCTACTACAGTTTCTGCTTTATATGCACATTTATTTATTCCTTCTTAAGAAACCTCAAGCCTGCTTACTCTGGCAGAAGCCATAATTCTACCTCTGAATAAAGTATGCTTGTGCAGTGTTCAGTGACCCACTCAATTCAGATTCTGCAAGGGCTCTACGGGAAGCTCAAGTCCCCAGTGTGCAGCTTCCAGGGTGCTCTGGTTTCAGCAATGGCCAGTTCTCCGAAGAACGTGATCTCTACCCCACGTGCTCACATGACATCATGCCCTTCTTTTCACAGAGCTAAGGCTGTCCCCTATGGAAAGACGAACATGCAGAATGACGAGAAGTTAGAACTCACCCAGGGAAAGGGCTGGGGGACAAGCACAGCCCAGCACTGAAAACACCAAGTGAAGCCAAAGTGGTAGAACAAAGTGGTGGAATACAAGAGCAGGAAGAGCCGTGATGGAGAATTCCAGCTCCCACACTCATACAGACTGGCACTGATTCTCTGCCCACGCCCATGGCCACCCTACCTGAAAGTTTGGACCCAAAAGAATGGGAGTTTTGATGGAAATATGATGCTGTCAAGGTGCTTGTGACAGAAGAGCCATTAACTACAACTGAGAGACTTCTCAGCACAGGTTCTAACCCAAGGGTGAATTTCCACTCTATTAGTCCTGGGCCACCTCTTCTCAACTCCTCCAACACTCACACTCTGGCACCACAATCTTTTATTCTGCCTGTCCTTTTTTCATCCCCACCTGGATGATTCCTTTTCAGAGTCTCCCCAACAGCCTACTGTCTCTGCTCCTGAAGGGGAAAGCCCTACAATAACACTAATTACCCCATTTTAACAGGGGTGGCTCTTGGCTGGAGTTGATTTTTATCATGGTTCCTCAGAGTGACTTTCAACTTGTCTCCTGTCTTCCCACGGTTCTAGTTTTCAATACTCATGGATAGACATCTTTCCCTCTTACACAAGACAACAGTGACAAATGCCCTCAGATTTATATTTATTCCACATTTTTCTCCCATTTAAGGAGAAGACACTGTCTTCTTTATTTTTGAAAGATAAACTTTCCATTTTTGTTCTTAATTTGCTCCCTGTGGTGGACTGGCTAATGGTCAACCTGTAATGCCCAGCTGAACTGAATCAGCGTGGTCTGGGTGTGGAGGATTCACCTGAAGATCATTACCAAGAGCCATAAAAAGAGAAATGGAGGGGAAGATCTTGGTCTGATGATTTTCTAGGAGAAGCTGGCTGCAGATGGTTTTCCTGATGCAAACCAGGCTGTTCTTGTTGGAGGAGGAGTTCGGGGCCTCACTGTCGCTGGGAATAGCTGCTGTTTTCATCAGGGGAGTTCTGATCTTTACCGTGAGCATCACTTCCTGGCTCCAATGTGGTTCTCTCACCTTGGTGGCACAAATCCTTCATCTTAACGGTGTAGTTTTTCTGGCTTCCACCACTGGCCTTTGGGCCTTCCAGGTGCAGATCCTCAACAAGGTCAAGCATGAGACATTGCAGTGGGCTCTAGGCCACTGTTTGGACTCGAGGAGGACATTGCCTTGGACTCTAAGCCTTTAGTTGGACTTGTGTGGGAAACTGCTGGGATCTTGGCCCTCAGCTGGATCCTTTGGGCTTCTAGTGCATGGTTAATCTGTTACTCTCCTTGGCATTTGACTTTTTGGTAATTATCATAAAATAATCTTACAAATTATGTGTCCTGCATTTAATGTATTCCCTTGCCCAATCCTGCTGACTACAACACTCCCTAATCTGTTTATCTTTTATTTCTATTGTCCATTGACCTCTTGTATCAAATAAATTGATTTGTTTGTATTACCCCAAGGTAAGACCTCTCTAGCCTCAATATTCTTCAAAGCTAAACAGTCAGATGGGGTGGGAGTCGCACAACATTTTTTTCTTTTTCTTCCATCCTGCAGCTTCCTATTTGCTCTTCAACTCTATTCCTTTGTTTTTTTGTTTTTTTGGTACCAGGGATCGAACTCAGGTCCTTGTGCTTGCACAGCAGGTGGCGAAACCACTGAGCTAAATCCCTGGCCCTTCAACTCTATTCCTGATACAGATTTCGCTATGGTAGTGCTAGGCATCATGTTACCTGGGACTGCCTGGCTTCCCAACACACAACATAAATTTCCAGATGAAAGCTAAGGAAGGCACTTCTGAGTTGTTATCTCAGATATGCACAGAAAGGAAAATTTAGATATAGATGGCTAAAAAGCAGTGCAAATATTATACCTGTTGCTCTTTCTATAAGGTTGTTTAAAGATTTTAAGAACAGATGTTTTCCCCCTATGGAACTCTAAAAAGCTAGCTTTATTCTGGGTGGGAGAAATACGTGCCTCATAAACATTTTATTTTTCCTGAATTGGTCCTTGTGTTTAAAAAAAAAAAAAATAGAGAAAGAAGGCTGTTCCCTCCTTCCCCAGGGTCTATGGAAGCCAGGTGGATTCAAAGGTATTAGTGTTATAAAAAGCCCTTTTAGAAAAGCACATATGAAGTTAATTTATTGAGATAGGCAATTTTATATGGATTCAGTTTCTGACCTGTGTAGGAATCACAGAAAATCATAAGGCTCAATCTTTGTGTTTAAATCAATATGCTCAGGGACATGAATGAAAACTGTGTAGGTTGACAAGCCACATAAACAAAAATGAAGGTTATTTCCCCAGGATGCCATAGTCATTCTCAACACTCAGGAGAGAGATCTCTGAATTGCCTGAATTGCCAGACTGGAGAGCATTCCCATGTTAAGGGCAAAGGTGCATCAGGTGCAAGCTGGGTGAAGTCTATTTTCCTGTGATCTTTCACAATTTGTAAAACCCTTGTAAAAGAAATATACATTTAACTCAAAATTTGCAATTACAAATATCACAAAGAAATTCCACATTAGTTATTTAGAGAAACATACTGGTTTACATCTTTCTACTTAAAAAGTGATGGAGAACACACTAAACTGTGGTTTTGTTACTTGGTTTATTTCAATGTACCCTGATAATTTCTCTTGCCATTATGTTTTCTTAAAAATCGTCATTGTTAATAGCTACACAGTGGCCCATTCTGTGGCCACACTATAATTAATTGAATCAATATACCTTTTTTTGATATTTAGCATTTTTTTCTTTTTAAAAAGTTAGAAATAATGTTGGGATGAAATCTATATGGACCAACCTTTGTTCACATTTCCAATTAGGACAAATTTCTAGATGTGAAATTGCTAAGCTTGATGATATGCATTTTTCTTAGGGACCTTTGACCTGCACTACCAGTATGTACTCCACCCTGCTTTACACTCCAACCAGAAGAAAAGGAGAGCACACACTTCCAGAACTTATATTAACATCAGGTATGGCAACAAAACCAAAATTTGCCAATTACATAGATGAAAAAGTAGAATCATAGGTCTCTAATATAACCTTAATGGTAAAACCACCTTATTGGAATAGTATTATCTTCACTTGATGGATGAGAAGCTGAGATTCAATAAAGGTAAAATAATTAAAAATGGGGTCTGGTTTGTTAATTTAATTCAGTTTCCCAACTGGCATGTGGGGACGTGCTGGTATAATAAGACTTGTAGTTCTTCTCATTTCCTGGGTCTGCCAAGGGCCTGAAGTGACTGAGTCTTTAGGCAAGTTACTATCAGCTTCAGGCAGCCTTTTGTTTAATCTCCCTCAGTTCACCCCATGGTTAAAAAAAAAAAAAACCCAAAGCCTCTACTGCATTGCTCAAGATGAAAATGACTAGGACATATTCAATTGGGGGTGGGGGAAGGATAGATGTGAAATACAACATGGTTTGACACCTAAGCTAC